TGTTACTAATGCGGCTTTGCGGGATGAGTTCAAATGCTTCAGTTTATGACGCCAAACTTCGGATCTACGTTCAAATACAGGAAAATGCGTCCACGTCAAATTTAGTAAAAGGAAACATAATTTATTCCTCTTATATTATAGAAGAAGACCCATTGCGCAAATTATCAGAAATAAATACCTAAGTGTCATTAATTCTGCAAGGCTCTCTTTTCATCAGCACATAGCGATGATCTTAAATAAAGCTGTGAAAGTACTGAATTTAGTCATCGGAAACATTCGTACTACCCCTCGGACCTTAAAAGAGGCGGCACATCATTCACTGCTAAGACCACATTCAGAATACGCAAGCGCTGGGTGAAAACCTCACCAAAATTACCTCATACATAAGATTGAAATTACTCAAAACCGTGCAGTAAGATAGTTTTTTTTTTTAACAAATACTCTCGAGAAACACGTGTTACTTAAATAAAATCCAGCTCTGCTATAGCAACTCTTGATAAAATACGTGAAAATAGTACACTGCAGCTTGTTCATTCAATGTATTAAACTTTATCTGGAAACAATTAAGGTATATACCTTAAATGCCCTCATTACATCTCGAACAGGACGGACCATAGCAAGGAAAATTGTGAAATATGAGGTGGAACCAAATATAAAACGTTTTCTTTCATACTTGCTTCGATATTATACGATATCTTATTGCACCATACCTTTCTGGAACCACCCGCCTGCAGATGTCATATAATCCGATAGTGATTCATTTTTAAGGGCGATCAATGCGTTATGAACTTGCTTTTTTGGCTGTTGCTTGTCAATGACATGCGTTATTTGTGATTTTTTGTAAACATTTTTATAATTCGCAGTTTTGAGCTGAAATGTGCGCAATTTGATTTTTGTTTTATTGATTATCATATTTCGTGTGATGTTGTGTGCTGATGATGAGTACTATTTGAGATTTCTTTTTTCTCTCTCTATATATATACCCACTCCCCAGCTGTAATGCTTGGGCGCTGCAAGGATCTCTAAAAAGATAAAGAAGAAACGGAGAACTTTGAATTTTAGCTCTTCTTGAGGAACAAAAATGCACCATTCTGGGAAAATTCCTTTATCCACGATTTTATTTCACGCGGTACACGGCCCAACTGCCCGCATGGCTGCTTCTTTCTGCTGGAGCCATTTTTTTAATGATGCCGGCAAGTTTGACAAGTATTCAGTTCATGCACGTGTTCCCAGGAGGTTGGGTAAACCTGTGTCTGTTTGTTCAACAGAAGGCCTGATTGAATGCCCCGAAACCCCGAAAAACGCTTCCGTATGCACATTAATGTAAACACCGATAACTCGGAACGCTAGGCAGGTAGAAGCACTGAATATTTGATCGAAGAGACACCCGCCTAAGACGCGACGTCAATATACAGTCTGTCTTTAATTTTGGCGACGATTCCTAGAACACAAGCTCCCGATATGAGCCCCACTGCGTCGGAAAATTGGAAATGTTAGAATTACAGGGGCTCTAATGTGGCATGAACATAATTCCAGTAATTTAGAAGTAGGCAACAAGGGTCCCAGAGTGTGAAAAGAACAAATAAACGTTTCGAGTTTACCCCATTGACCGTCCGTGGAAGTACAGATTTACGTATGAGCATCTAGAGGGTAGATATCCCCTCTGATCTTATATTTTCTCAAAAGGAAAGATAGTAAAAAAAAAGTATATTTATAATCGAGAAAAAAAAAAGAAAAACAGTTGTCAAACTGTTTTTAAATTTTGTTTCGGGTCATTCGAAGTAAAGCTTTGCGATTTCATGGAATATCTGCTAATTTCTGAATTACAAGGTAAAAATATAAAAAATGAGCCTCCAATAAAATACATGGTTATATTGCCAAGTTGCTTTACTGTCCCAGTTCATCAACACAAAAATGTCAAGATTAGAGGAAGGAAACTACACTAATCAAAGAATCTTTGCAAGTGAAGGTTTATTTGAACATAAAGTAAATTATAGGCAATCCAGAACTGGCTGTACTGTTTTGTGACCCCAAAGTCGTATGCAATTTTGTTTTCCTATTGGACGACGAACTTGTTTTTCGCCTTCACATATACTATGGATTTAAAATTAGTTTGAACAGGATTGATTCTGGCAGCGGAGCATCGGTCGCACTATCGAAAAATGTGTATGCGCTTTTAAAATAAAAACTAGCAACTCCTCTGATATCTGAAGTTTGTTTGTTCTTTCAACAAAAAACTTCAGTCGACGATACAACTTTGTTTTTCATCAATTGCTCTATGTCCTGGTAATGCTCAGCCCGTTTTAAGCCTCGCCAATATTTTACAGTCATTACGTTTAGGCTACTTCACCAGAACCTCGGTTTTCAACACTTCCACCAAAAAATATTCTGATAGAGGAAGCAGAACTTCTAGAGCCCAGTAAACGGATTCGTAAAAATACATTTAATTGAATAGATTACTTTATATATTTATAGATAATTCAATTACCTACGAAACGTCTAATAGATTAGAATTGGGTAATTTTTGAAATCTCATCTGTGCAACAAAATTGTCCTGGTAGATATAAGTATACCAGATGTGCACGTTGTAAAATGAATTCTAGGAAAGCACGTTAAAATAATAAAAAGCGGTAAAACTTTAAAAAAAACAGTATACAGCAACTTCACAATGTCTGCCGACGTTTAGCTGAAGAAGCGAAGTCTCGTAGGAAAGCTACGGCCTCCACTCTAAGGTTTTAAGAATATTTCTTTTCAAGCGGTACAAATAAAGTTAGGTGCATTATCCTGCGTAACCTGAAAAGCTGGCGGAGAAAGTCTCCAGGGGATGGATTCGAATTTTCAAAACTGGGAATACTCGAGAAGCGTACATTATTGTGCCGTTTCCAAGTCTGCTCTGGCAGACCGTGCGCATTTCGAAGGATTTTGTAGATCGTCTGGGCATTCTTAAGTGTATTTGTTGAAATCACGATCTTCTGTTTTGAAGTTGCACCTCCACGGTAGCCAGGTTGTCGTGTTGGATTTTCCCAGCCACGTACTGGAGGCAAGCAAGGGGCACAGGTTGGACACCAGCGCTGAGTTCAACTTGTATCACTCAGAATACGAATCTGAGCGGAATGCCTCAATCGAGCTCCATCTGGCTGCCAACAGGTGGCGTCAAAACTTCAGCGCCAGGCCTTTGCTATCTTGGAGGTAGTGCCCGAGGTCGTGCGATTTTCGGAGCCTGTCTCTACACGATGATTTGCATTGCCCCGCAGCGGACCCTATCAGAACCTTCGAGTCGGATAGAAGCTAGGTTGGTTATTGAATAGGTCTGCTGCTGGCACAATTTGAAGAGGCGTTCTGGTGTGCAGCTGTGGTTACTCTTAATGCCGGGGTCACTCAGCTCGTGCTTCATACAAAGGCTGTGTTCCAAATCTTACCCAAATGGATCCGAGTTACTCCGGCGGATCGTATCACGTGACAGCACAGATTGAAAAGCGCTGGACGCGGGTAGGTTTTGAAACACCAAGGTACAAAACCCTTACCCTGGGGTAGGATTGAGTAAATTTCGGAACACGGCCAAGGAGACTACAAGCACGAGTGACCGCAATATCCGTTGTTTGAATGCCGTGTACCAAGTTTCTTCTTAAACTCGTTGACATGCGGCTTTCGAAGCACGGATCTCGTGGTGACTTGCGATCGAATCTGTTTTGCAGACTGTCTTTTGTAGGATGTACACACCTTTCCAATGTTTACAAAATCACAGTACAACGTGCGATCTTCACAGCCCAGCACGTGCGTGTTCGTCGCGTCGGAAAGCGAGGAAAGCACGCGCGATACGCACGAACACTCAATATAGCACCGGCCACACGCTCTTTTTTGGAAAGGTCTATAAGCCGTGAGATCCCGGCGTTAACCGATGCCGTGCAACATCTCATGCTCGATATTCAGCTCGGCACTCAAGACGAGTGCCAAAATACTGAAAGAACGAAGCGCGTGAAGGCCGGGGTTTCTAGGTTGTAAGGGACAAGTTTCGTTGGCGACCATATTTGAGTCCGTTGAGCGCGAGCTTGTAACGAGCTTCAGCAACGCTTCCGAAACGGTTCACTGCAGACCATCACGATTTTAGTTCTTCGCGAAAGATAAGGGGGCACAGATTCGGAGCCCACGCTTTGAACATTGCTCAATTATGGCACCCACTCATAAAAAATATATTTAATTCAGCACATTCTTAATGAGAGTAAACTAATCATAATTATGAAAATATTGGAATGGCATTTAGCTCTAGGCTTGAAATGATGAAAATGTAGTATTTAAGGAGGGTTCCTTTCAAATAGTTTAGAAGACACTAAACGGCTGTTTTGGAGAGTGAAGTACATATTTTTATTAATTCTAGCGGGGAAACCTAACTGATGGAGAAGTCACGCGATATCAATTTTGACGCGAAATATAGCGAAGAAATGGGATTGGTGTTTAGCTCATGCGACGTCGATTACATACCTAAACTGGGTGGGTAAACCGAATTGGTTATGTGTAATGTGATATCAGGTCACGTGACACCGATTTCACTGATAAATTTATCGCTAGAACTAAAATGAAATTTTGAAAACGTGACGTGAATTTTAAGGTTAGGTTCAGTAGAGAAACTGAATTGTGGTATTGGCCACGTGACGTCAATTTCACCGATAAATTGGATAGGCTAACCCAATTGTTATTTAGGTCAATGACGCAAATTTTCCCGCAAATTTAAGCAGGAAAACGATTCGTGTATTGGCGCGCGACGCCCGGTGACGTGAATTTCTCCGTTAAATCTAGCCGGGAAATGCAGGGACGGATGCAGATAAGTTGGGGATTGTGGGTGGGTACCTAAAACAGCACTGAGCATGCATTCAACAATAGGCAAAACAAGGTCACACAAAGATGGCACTGGTTTCTGATAGCTGAAGTGTATGTAGAAGGTCAAGTGAGTGTACGAAACCGCTTTACATACATGGAGCATAGCAGTGTAGGATTGCACTCACGCGACGTTGGCCCTCGTGTAGAATTCATCTTCTGACAGCAGTGCCGAGTCCAATTCGTGCTCAATCTCAAAGTCCGTCTCGCGGTGAAGCGAAGTGATGGGCCGCGCCTGTTGAAGGAAGAAAGTGATTCGTCGTGGGAACACAGGAACACCGAGACTGGGGTTCAAATTTGTTCTATTAATGTTTAAGTAGCAGTTCGCACGACGACTGGCAGCCATGGAGACTTGTGTTTCGCTGTCCAGTGGTAGCTTTGTAACTGCAAAACGGTTGCTAATTTGCAGTTTCTGACACGTTTTGAGCGAATATTACACGCACAGATGCCTGCATTACGCATGCTTATATGAGAAGTGGCTGAGGTGAGAACTTGAATCGTCACATGTTTGTCTGCAGTACGAACTGTTTACATACAGTCCAGCCGCGGCGAAACTCACCTAACTGGCTAATTTGCTTCTCCGTGTGTTTAAAGAAAGAATGAAGAAACAATCTCAAAATGTGCGAAATCATTGATGTAAATATATTAACTATTTGGAAGCAAAAAGCTGCCAGTTGTGGTTAACAAAGACAAAGAGGTGACGTAAATCTAAAATGGCCGAGTGGGGAAACGTTTTACGTATTCTCTATAATTTCTTTGGTACGTTCGCAGCAGTTTTTGAACTACTGATAAAATGTGATCTCAAATCGTAAAAAGATTGTTACAAAACGTTGTGTGAAAAGTTTACAGCATCTGCATGTACATGCAGATGAAACTCAAGCGTCTATGTGCACCTATCTGAAGGCTGCATAAAGGTGTTGTGGTGCTGTCACAATTGCGATTGAGCTGTGTTTGCAAAGCGGGTCCGGATACAGTTCGCGAGCACCAGGACGCACTTTGCCGTTTTTCGGTGATCACGGGTGATTCTTCGGGACTTGTGTTGGGCAACCTTGTTTTACAATCCAAAATCCGGTTTTGGTACGGAACGTTTTTCTTCCTGCTGTTCGCACGCATCCCGAGTTCAAGCAAAAAAAGAGTCATGAATTCGCAAGGCCACGCCGGCAATACCCCCGAGCACGCCCTCAAGCAAAGCCAAGCTAGGCGCGGCTTTCTGAACCATAGCCTCCTGGTTGAATAGGGCTTGCCCTCCGAATCTTTTTTTCCTGAGGTTGGCCTAGTTTTCGGGATGAGGGGCCACTTTCTCCTCGTCCTCGCTCACTTTTTTCTTTTGGAACAATGCGCGGCATTGCTTGGGACTAGCTGGTTGTGGTTCGGTTGGTGGCGGACTCGCCTCTCGTGTCACGCCAACCGGGTCTGATGTTCATGGAACATTAGGGCAAAATTAACGCCGTGTAGATTACCTATGGGTAATGTTGCGCGTACGCTTGATTTGTTTAGACAGTGACCTTTATTCCTTTTGGCAAGGAAACGTGACTGGCCCAGCTAGCGCGGCAATCTTAGGTGCAGTATCTCCCTCGCGGTAGTTCGTCGGCTACTCAATTACTCTCACCACGTCTATATGCGCCTTCATAGTGGTCATGTACGATGGCGGTAGGTTACAGCAGCTTACGCGACTGCCGAACAGGGTACAGTAGCTGTCACGTCGCCGATCCGAGGCGGTTTCGAATGTCCTACGGGCAAAGACGAACAATGCAGAGCAACGACGGGCTTGGGCAACTCAAATAACTAACCAATTAGCCTACTTGAATAAAAAGCGCTGAAATCCACATGCCAACGGCTTCTCATAGAAACCTGTCATGTACAGACTACGCCAGGGAATATCAACAGGTCGACAGGCACTGTACCATCGGCGTATGTCAACGGGTTAGGGCACTTGACGAAAAAAAAAAGCTAGTGAAGTAAACAACGCTGGCGTAGATGAAAAAGACGCTGCTGCTCTCCACGGCCGAATGGTCGTCCCTGTTGATAACACAGAATCGGGTTTGAAACATCGGGGTCCTAACTGTTTAGTACCTGGTTGGTGATGGTCCTTACTTTTTCCGTTTTTGACCCAACCAGAGGAGTTCCGTGAAACAATTAAGGTAAGGTTTAAATTATCAGTCTATATAAGCGCAGTACTAGAAGACACGCTAATATAACTCAGTTTCTTACTAGTCACCACCTTTCGTCTTTTAGCAGCAGCGTGTGCGAGCGAGCCCAGATTAACTCGAATCTTTTTGTAGATCATGATAATATTCGTGCCTTTTTCAATTCTTCAGTTCCAACCGCATAAAAGAACTCTTGTAGGCCATGTCACTGGCTCTTTGATCAGGACCGTTCATTATACATGGTCGGTTTGTCATATTCTGCAAGCGATCATATAATACCTGCGAATACTTACCTGAAGCAGATACAGCTTTCCCTCTGCAATTGCCCACTCCAAGTCAAGGTCAGACGTCACCGGATGCAGCCTCCCCACCTGTCGACGTCCATAGTTTACTCGCACGTGAGCCATTAAATAGCTGCAGGGCAACGGCACTTCAGCCACCTCGTTACTAAAATAATTTGTTGCGAGTTACCTTTATTTTTATTGAAAATCGTAAAGAACGCTTTTCTATCCTTCAAAAATCTCAAACAGTATGTAACAGACTAAAACAAATCACACCAGCTTTTCGATAAGGTGTCTAAAGCCCTGCAAGTCGTGTTTTCGTATCGTAACCATTGCCGATTGTTCACGCTCTGTTCTAGGCAACCAAGTGGCTGGGACCGCAAGACAACCGTGGAATTGAGTGGAGATAGTTGAACTGTTTTATTAGTGGCCAACTTGAGTCGCCGTATTGAAATATCATACCACACTCACCTCCAGGGCTGCTCTGCCCAAAATGAGAGCTTGTTCTTCAGAGATGCAGCACTCCTCTGCGTTATCGACCATCTGAACCTCTGTTCCTTGCGCTGCAAGAGAGATTGAGCCCGCGTTTATCACCCGTTTTATATTATGCCCACCAGGCTCGAATGTAGAGGAGCTGTCACCTGCGGCAAGAACTTGCAGCTGCTTTTTGCCCAGGTGCTTATAAGAAATAGTCATCTGCCCGTCCTCTGAGCGCTCCAGGGTCACCGTGTCTGGCTCAGCAAGTGATGACACCACGGACTGGGGCATTGTCAGAAAGGTGTAATGATAAATATCGGTAACATTCAGTCCACCCACTTATTTAAACTTTATTTCTCGTTTATTCCTCAGCATTAGAGGCAGTACATAAAAAAGATACTACAGCAAGTTGGGCTAGCTGATGATTGTTGCACACGATGAAAAACTGTTCAAAGGGACAGGACAAAGGAACGAACATCGCGTCTGTGTGTCTTGTTCCTTTTTTTTTTGCAATTTTCTGCCCTGTTCTTTTGAGCGGTGCTTCTCGTCGTGTAGAAAGAGTACGAGATTGTTTACATAAGCCGAAAATATAACATGTTTCACATAAACCACGACAAAAATTAATAGTTTAGGTATTAATCAAGACCCATCTTATGATTAAGTGGGACTGCTGAACGTTGGTACGGTTTTATTTAGACTCGTAGAAACGATTAACGAGCATCTGCCGAGTATAGTAAAAGCCTACAGGTCATGCTGCATTGAAATTAGTAAAAAGTGTATGATGGAATATTGCGCGATAAATGAGATTTCAGAATTCGTATATGTCGCCTTGTTGCTCTATTAATTATATCTGGCCTTGCACAAAAAAACTTTTTTTTTGACAGTCACAAGTTACAGCTTTCCATCATTGCAGTAATTAGTTTTTGTTGGGAGCAGGTTGACTTTTTTGGAAAATGTGGGGAGACCCTCAAGCTAGGCCCAACCAGAAGTGAAGAGGCCAATAACATAATTCACTTTGATAATCTAGTAGACGAGCAATCGGTAAAATAAATACAAGCTGCAATGACCCCATTTATTTAAAAGCACGACAAGATCTTTTATCTGAAGTTAATCACTTTTGCAGTTAATTTTATATTATGGCAGAACTAATATGACACGGTGGTTTTGCTGGTAATTCGCAAGCAAAAAAATTTTTTTGTTCAGATGATGCTGCTGTTGTTTCTTTCTCCGTCGAGAACTCCTAAAGTGTCACAAATTAGGACAGAAAAACTTTAAACTTCTGAAATGTGAAAACTTAACGTTTCAATGCGAGCTCGGCTCCTTGAACACGCGTAACTGTTCATGTACTTGTCGTTTTTTTAAGGTGCCCGGTGTCCTATTATCGAATTGCTTGGTGTGTCTGAAACAGCCCAGTGTGACTTATGAATTTAAAAGTTCAGGGTGTGTTTTTGTGTTGGTTTCCTACTCGTTTCCCTCGCGATGCATATTAATCCAGAAATGTATCTGCCTCAGTGATGATAGCGTTGCTATCATCACTGAGAACCCGTGTGACGACTTCGCTCTCACGTGCTTGGCTCTAGAAAATGTGAAAGAGTGGTTTGAAGACAACGTCGCGGTATACTCGCGCGTGAGGTACGTAACTGACGGGGCTGCCAGCCATTTTAAGAACCGCTACCAGCTTCAGCAGTTTGCACAGAATGATTGCCTACAAGCCAGTGGTTATTTTCTGCATCTGGACATGAGAAAATGCATGCGAGAGTTGGCGGACTCGTGAAGTACCAGGCTACGCTGAGCCACCTGAGAGAACGTTCAATAAACGCAATTCAGACGGCCAGGACAATGGTGAGCGTTCTACAGGGTGTCAGAAAATAAAATTTACACGGTCTTTTTTGCCGCAAAAATAAACTAGGCAACGCCGAACGCTCATTCTCTGCTCAAAGGTAGCGCTAACGGTCACAACCAGATGCAAAAGTTTCAGACCGATCCGATAACTTAATCAAAAGTTATAAGTGATTTTCTGAAAATTCAGCGATGCCTAGTTTATTTTTGCGGTAAAAAAGACCGTGTAAATATTCTTTTGTGACACCCTGTATTCGAGAAACTGGGTGCATCTTGCGTATCTGGAAGAGTGGCTGACGGTGCGCGCTTTCCTGGCATTCAGTCTTGACACGCGTAGCGGCTGTGAAAGTCATCAATAGAAGGAACCTGTCACATATATGTAGCACGGGCAATCGGATCTGGTTAGAAGAAACTTTATTAAATGGGTACATCGAGGAAAACCTTAGTGTAAAGTGCCGAATTTGATGCCTCAAGGACTGCTCATTTTGAATGCAGGGACCCATCTCATTTATCACAGTTTTCTTCGCGGGGTATTTAGTCTACTATTTTACTTGGTGATAGCTTATAATGTTTATTCGATCACCATACGAGAATCACGAAACGTTATCCTCGCGCAGGATAAAATATTTCGACTGGCCGCGATCCATTCGTTCAACGAGAGTATCGAAGCTCATACAGTCTGGCGGGGTGGCACCCGCTCACCTGAAATGGTTGGTCCGGGCAATACATAACTAACCTAAAGAAGTTAGTATTCTATCTTTATTTTTTTGTGTGGAAGTAACGCTGTTTTTTTTATTTTTAATATAAATTATACCGGAATCTAAAACTTCACACTGCATCATCTTTTCTCGATTTACTAGTCTCTAATATGATACCTCTTTGTACGCTGTATGTAAAATTCCGTATATAGTTTCTCCTCACTTTTAGTGTGTAACCGATTGCTCTAGTTGTCAGTGACCTGATCTGAATAAAAATGCATGAAAGATGTGTGTTAGTTTCCTGAAACTGGAAGTCAGAGTCACTTCTCGCATAGGGCACTGGCACTGATAAGTGTAGGCTTTGAAAAAGTACCCTACTTTGGGGAGTTGTGTCTTCTTTCTCAATAAAAAATTGCAACATGTTTATAATAGAAATGAATGCCGAAATAGTGCATGACACGGTACCCAAATAAAAAAAACCGAAGGTGGTGTTTTTTTTTTTAATTTGTACCGTATTTTTTCGTTGTTTGATATTTTTCCCGTGTTGGCCTAAATATATCAAGACAAGTTATCACTGAGATACCTTATTTATTTTTTAAATATTAGCCACATATAAGTAGGATACTGTCTGCTAAGGAAATGATTATGATTAAGTTACTTCATGAGATACAGACCTACAAATTTTGCCATTTGTCGTTCGAGCAGGCATGTTTGGCAAATTTTAGAAAAATAAATAATATTTGCATAAACAATAATGCTTTATATTACAAGCAAGCTGTACCCATTGTTTGCGTCTAAAACGTATAAGAATTCTCCTAATGTTATCGTTTTAGTTATTCACTCTCAAGTGTGCCCCCTCCATCAGTGCGCGTTAATGCAACTGTCCACCTCTTCATGCCTTACGATTTTACCTGTCCCCAAATTTTTTTCCTGGTTATAATTAAGTGTGGATTCGTTTATACCAGACACTAGATAATGGCATATAAAAACATGAGTTGATTTAGAAATGTCGGCCGGCCACCTTTTGGTCGATCTTATCTGAAATCATCCAGCAATGAGTGCTCCACCACGCAACTTCTAATCACACCTGTAAACGTTAAACTTTAAAGAAGGGGAAAACACTATACTGTGCCTTTGATGTCGGGCTTCAGTCATGTTTACGTTAGGAAACAAAAGTCGGCTGCACAAGCTTCGGCTAGTAAGCGAAACTTTTCACGCCTTGGTATCACACTTCTTAAATCGGTTAAAATCGACATTTCGAAAAAAAAAATAAGTTGTTTGTTATCTAAAAAAAATTGTAGTTTTGATGCCGACGGATGTTTATAAGATTTTCAGTCACAACTTCGAACATGATAAAAGACCGCGCACCAACAAATAGAACAGACGAGGTAAGAAGAGAATGGAAGAGAAGCGCGTACTCACAACTCAAATGTAATGCGTGAAGAAAAGGAACATGAAGCGAGATGACAGAGACACCGGCTCGTGGGCATATAATTCAGTCACACCCAAAGGACCGCAAAAAGGCTGCTTCTTTTTCGCCTTTCATCATTTCATCATGTTTAATGCATACCAAGTAGCTCAGCTTACTACCTGATTACAAAACTTCGAAGTCTGTTGCCCAGTTATGAGCGATTTTGAGAAACTTTTATTGATGAAATCGTGGTGAACGGAGATATATGAAGATGACTTGCACCGGCTACCGAAAAAGAGCTCATTATCTCCATAAAAATTTCCCCAAATCACCAATTACTTTTGAATCAAAAATCAAGAAGCTTTAAAACTTGGTCATTTAGTCCGGAGGACTGGCGAAATTTGTGACCAAAGACTGAGCGTTTAATAGTGCGTAATTTATGTATTTAAACGACAAATATTGCTTAGAAGAACCCGGTATACCAGTGCCGGTCGTACCAAAACTGACATGAAGGTAGAGGGAACACCGTTGCGCGTGGCGTCGGATGCAAAGCATTCTTACCCGAAGGGCGGAATGTAGTGGCACGCCGGGCCGTTAGACCGCCGTGATAGTATCCGATGCCGTGTAGTCATGCATACTCGCGAAGTGTGATTGAGATGTACGCGGATATTGCGCTCTACCCGCTTACCAGTGAAGATGATTGATTCCCGTACCTCACCGAGACCGTAGTTGGCGTTGATGACAAGCCTCGTGGGATCGCCGCTGACAGGGTCGCATGTGAACAGGACTCCGGCCACGTCAGACTGCACCATCTCCTGGACCAACACCGCCATGGGTGCTTCCAGCGGCTGCCCGTGCTGCCTGCTCAAATATCATCAGATTGTAATGGTCGTAGAACGTGCTGATGCAGAGGAAAGTCACGAAGACTAGTGTCATACAATTTGTTATCGCAGAGCTTGCTCGCTAGTTTAGTGCGTGTAATTCCTCACTTGCCAGCCTGCTATATGCCATTGCGCCTTCTACACGTAAGCCTGAATTATCTACACAAGCTATAAAAACTACGTGTGGAAAGCCCAGATTTTGTTTAGAAAAAATTGCTGCTAATTTGGTTATTCTGCCAAGAACATTTAAACGCGGTGCCTTTAGGGGGTAGGTGGCGCGCTTCGTTCGGGTGATGTCTAGGGCAGGATGACCTCAAGTCTTTCAGTGCCTGCGGTGGGTAGTGCTCTTAGTTCAGGTGGTGCATAGGGTAGGATTTTGATGCAGACTACGTCACAGCTTTCTGCGCGCAGTGTCTCTTCGTGACACTGCGCGCACCTCCATTTAGACCACCCGGATGCAAAGCCCTTTAACTGAAGTGCATTGCACAAGAGCACGAGAGCTAACTCTGTTCACCTGTGCATACACTGCAATATTTGGGGGTGAGAGGTTCACCTGCCATGTTGTACAAATTTAGGTAGGCACAGTAACCAACTAACGAGGGATATAATTGTAGCTTAACACATCGCCAGCAATTATAAAATCTGTATTAGTGCACCATCTTTGAGCCTGACAGATAAAAGAACAAAATTTCATGGCGTCTAGGAGAAAGGTGCGTGCGATTAGGGAAATTCGGCTGTTTCAGCCATCGAAGAGGAAGACAAAGTACATAAGCATGAGTTGTGAGTCAGCGCGGTTCGTTTAATTTTACCTTTCTGCTTCGTCTCTAACGAGTGAGCGTACGGTGTGAGTGTACTTTTGCTGTAGTGCACTATAGTGTGTGTTAATTTGAGCAACCAACTCGCCCAAGCTGCTATGTTAACATTGCACCGTAATTTCTGGGTCACCAAGAAAGGGGAAGCGCGCTTTCCTGTCCCTTACACTCCTTCGTGTTCCGCGCGATTGTTCTACACCACCTGTTTTTGCTCCTTTTATTCTCGCCCTTTCCACTTTTCTCCGCTCTGCGCTTTTTATCAAACCTCCTACTTCTGCTCCTCCCGTTCCTGATTTACGGGACCATACATTATTCAGCAGCGCATTCGGCTTCCACGCCGGTGACTGGGGTTTGATTCCTGGCACCGGCTGCCGTTTCTTTCGAGACCGTTTAGCGGTTAGGACAGAACGACCTTCACAATTCCGTCTTACGCGGCTCCTGAGGTTGGTTGGCACAATATTTGTAATGGTTGTTTGTAGGTCGAGATAGGTGCGTATTTGTAAATACGCACCTATCTCCACAAGAGATAGGTGGGTATACGACGGCGAGCGAGGGTATTCAGAGAAGTTACAAGCTTTACTTATGAATGCATGTTAAACGGCAGCCGCGTGCACTATAAAGCTACCGCTTTAAAAAGCGTGAGAGCATGCGTCGTGCCAACAACAACTCTGGTGCCTGGTGTCAGATCCGCGCGTTGGTGTATGGTTTATCTCGAAACGGCCTACACATGACCGGGAATACAGTATGGCCCGCATTGGTTGACCTAGGCCCAGTCTCGAGGCCCTAGTGACATTCATATTTTAGGAAATATTGGAGCATTACGGAAGTCGAGCGCAGGTGGGCGTTCCACAAATACGTACCATTTGTACTCAAGTGCGGAATGTCGAAACTGTGACGCCCAGCACTTCAGAGCACAGCGCATCACCTGTTCACCACGAAAAAAAAAAACAATTTGTTCATTTCACAATATCCTATGCCCGTGATCACAAGGAAGTAGGTGAACTTTCCGGTAACGTACCTCTTGGAGCCCCGCTACATTGAGGAATGTCTCCATCTGGCCGGCACAGGACATTTCTTCCGAGTCTTCGCCTTCGAGGAAGCGCGGGAAAATAGAAACAATAAAAAGGGTGCAAATATGCGTGTATTGTTATTAGCCAATGGGCACTATTAACTCAGCAAAAGATTCAGTGCACCAAATCACCTCATTCTTAAAAACTCAAGATAAAAAAGAGGAACAAAACGCAGTTATTGCGTGTTGTCCTCATTATTTTTTTCTTATTCTTGACATTTTAGAAATGCACACTGCGCAACACTGCCCGCGCAAACACGACCGTGCCCTTTTTTGCCTTTTCCTTCAAAATTGTGTTTTATATTATGTCATTAATAATGCATTCTGTCTGAAAAATATTGGTGTATGTGAATAAATATATAGCGACATTGGAGAACAGCAAACTTTGCTGCTTAGTTTGGTGCCCTCAAGGGCACTTTTTTCATACCCAATAGTTTTAAATAAAAAAAAAACAAAAAAACAACGCGAAAAACAGGACACAGAGGAAAGATACTTGCACACAGAACAAGGCGCTAATTATACACTTTGATATTATGAAAATACGCCGAGCATAGGGTCCTCTTTTTCTTTCACTGTGGGGTCGCTTCATCTTTCTCGTTTCCTCGAATGAGAAGTTATCTAACGTCCAAAAAAAGTATTTCACTGCCCCTGATGTTCACAGATCGTTGGCTCACGCACGTTGTTTTATTTTTTACTATAAAGTAGGCCTCAATTATCTCCTAAGACAACTAAGGCCTACCACGAGGGGAAAAAACAAAAAACAAAAAAACAACAACGTGCATGAGTCAACTATTTGTGAATATAAGGACCAGTGTGATGGCTTTTTTGAACCATGTATAACATCTTATTTGAAGAAACGCGAAAAAGAGAAGCGAAAAAACCGTAAAAGGGAAAGAAGATCCTATGCCCGCGTGTTTCTTTTATAATAAAACAGTTGATAGTCAGCGCCTTGTCCTTTAGGTTTTTTGTCCTCAGTGTCCGTGTGTTTTTCGCACTATCTTTAATTATGAACATATGACAACTAGCCCAACTATCTATTCCAGCTGCTTAAATGTTGCGAGCGGTTTAAAAAAAAAAGTCACCCCTTTCTATAGTAGCGTGGCAAAGGCACTGCTAACGCAGAAAGTGATGTTTTCGTGTGGACGGGGTGTGAAGGGCGGGCAGGAGTAGACGGCTTAGGATTAGCCTTTCCAACGACGGACGTGGCACTTGAAAAGGAATTCGGTGCTGCCTAGGGTGCCTACATGATTCCGCTTCGCTTTAGGGTGGCGCCAACTTCTTGTTACCCTTTCCCAGATCCTCTCCCACCGCCATTTTGACCCACTTCTTATTTGGCTAAACGTACACAAAGTTGAGTTTTCGTAGTTTCGACACACCGGCAACACTGTGAGGCCACTTCCGTTTCCGTTCATAAGAGGAGTCGGACGAGTCGGAGGCTCAGCGGGATGGCGGTCGTCGTGGCTGTCGCTCTCTTTATTCGGGTGTTTCATACTTTAAAGTTTCGAGCAGGAAGTATGCGTTGCGTCTATCGAAACGGGAGTCCCCTCGACAAAATGGAACGCAAAAGACCGGCATCGCATGCCGAAACCTCGCCGTCGGAACGAGAGCGGTGGGCGCTCCCTAGCCCTAACGAGGATTAGCGGAGTAGCGCGAGCGCACGACTGGCGAGTGTGACAAAATGGTCAACCAAACAGCGGAGGTTGCCATGGTAACGAGGTAGGCAACACTGGTTTGTCGGCAACAGGTATCACAAACGTTGTCGCCACCCTAAACAGCGGAGCGGCGCGAACATGTAGGCACCCTAGTGCTGCCACGACATTGCGTTTTTTCTTGAAGAGCGTCAGCCGCTCGGTTGAGGACCTGGGATCATACTTCGAAGGCACCATGCGCACGTATGGCCTTGCAGCTCTTTATCGTGCTCGGTAAGCGCATGGTTGCTTTTTTGCTAGTGGGTGAAGTCTTGTGCTGGGGCAATGTGAATCCGACTTTCTCAGAGCCTGCTGCGGTGTGGGACCGTGCACAACGTGCGGAAACAGAAGAATTGGAACGCTGCAGCAATGCGGAGAGCCTAGAGTTCAGAGAGTTTTCAACTGCTCGATCGGGGTAACGTGAACTACGGAGCGCTTTTGCAATACGTGCTGCGAGGAGATGGCAAGAGTGTTGATCGTCTGCAGGCCTCTCCGCCTTTTTGTCCGCTGTTCTACTCGCCATGCGTCTAGACAGCGCGTGCTGACTTGAGATGAATCTCATGGTAGGCAACCGCCATTAAATTGCAGACGCTCCGACCGTCTTTTTAATCTAAATTATCTAGAACAGGGTGCAGACCCGTGGCGCTAGCTCGCGGTAAAAGAGAACAAAAGCTTAGAACTATCTCAACCCGTTGCGACAAGGGGAGCAAGTCTAAGGTAGTGTAGGCTTTCTTTCCCATATTTTCTTGTCGCCGTTTTTGCGTTCCTATCTAAGAAAACCTGGAGCACGCTCGCACTACCGCGTGCTCGGGGTGCATGACCGAGAAGAAAATTTTTTCTCTGCATCCATAAGATTTGTGTTTATTCTTACATAGAGCGTAAAAGATAAGGAGGCCGGAAGGACCTTGCTTAGACAGTTTTGTCTTATCTCATTCCTCAGAACTCTTAGCCGAATCTTCGAGAAGCCGAGTTTAGTAGATAGGCGGCCGAGCGCGGTATAGCCGATTCATTCACCGATTCTCTCTCGCGATCGTCAGCTATCACGTCGACGCACCGTCGCTTGCTGCTGCCACCGTCGACACTGGCTGCTGCTTCCTCGACGTGTGTTCTTCCTTTTGTATCTGGCACAAGTTCGCCGATTGAACCTTTCTTGTCAGTTCATTGTTGAACGTCTCTTCGCCTTCATCCGTCACATTTCTGGAGGAGGTGCGGGTTGGTGTGTCCTAAGAAACTATATTTTAGGGCATATCAAATACTCAACGTAAGAGATGTACATAAATACAAACTATCACTTGAAATTTGGTGGCAATTTCAGCTCGATAAATTGCTGTTCCATGCTAAGTACCACGCGAAAAATAGCCCGTATAATATAAGGCGTATAATTTAATTTAATTTAAAATTTAATTTAAGACCAGAGGTTGAGTTTTTTCTGATGCCAGACCATTCAAACCAGCACCCATATATTTTAGCTACATTGGATTGCGTACGATTACTCTATCAATATAAAACAATATTGTAAAAGAACATTTACTCACAGAGGCATAAAACCGGAGTGTTTTAAGCAAAATGCTTAGGATGATATCTAGCCAATGTGCTTTCACGGTATGTTGTTGTCTGATGTATTCTTGTTTTGTTTCGATTTTTAGTTTGGAGTCAAATTGTGTCACTCCTCATTTGCTCTATGTTTTTGCTACCGTTGCTGCCAAAAGCTTAGCATAGCCCTGTCAGGCATTTAGGCCTTTAGCCAAGTCCCCTGAGACATCTCTGTACTGTTATATCTTAAATAAAGGCATAAACAAAGAAACAAACAAACAAACCTCCAATGTCCGTTCCTAACACGCCCCCGAGTATCCACCGAACCAGATTAATTTCAATCCCCGAAGAACCTCCTTTTGTGAAGCCAGACGAAACCCGTGCACGCCGTGCACAAGGCCAGCAGCAAGAATTTGGTCCATTGGCGAAACAACCAAGGAAGGAGTCACCGAACCAGGGGATGTCTCACTAGGTCTAGCCGACCAAGAACCCTGCTTCCGCATCCCGCGTCGCGTTTCTTCCCCTTGCATCTCGTATTTCAACGCCCTTCCACAGCGAAGCTTACCAAGACGTCAACGACTGCACGCAGTAGTACGAGCGAGTTGCCCGTCCCAATGGGTGGACACCGGAGTAATGCCTGCCGAGGCATCTACTTCTCCCTCGAGGGAACGGCACGTACCTGGTCTGAAAACTATGAAGCGACAATTACCACCTGGAAATCATTGAAAGAGGACCTCCGTCGAGTGTTTGAGACCCAGCAGCAACGAGAACGCGCTGAGGAGTTGCTTTAGGGAAGCGTTCAAGGACCCAACGCGAGCATCGTCGGCTTTGCCGAGGACGTGCTTCGACTGAGCAGCCGAGCGGATCCCGACGCTCCAAGTGAAAAGAAATCGACAATCCTCAGGCGGGACGTCAAAGAAAACAACTTTGGGGTACTTGTGCGCAGTTCGCCGGTAACCATCGAGCGATTCGAAAATTGAAGGAGGCCACGGACATCGAATGTGACCTCCAATCAAATACTGATTACGAACCAACGGGCAGCATTTACGGCTCAGCTTACACGGGAGCTTCTTCGCCTCAGCCAAACCAGCCAACCATGAACCACAGCTTACCACTCGCAAACCGACGGGCTCACGGAGCCGCTCATCAAGATCCCTGCTTACATGCTTTTTTATCTAAGTCGACGTGGAGCACAAGCGGTGGGACAAAGTGTTTGCTTATAATGCGGATGTTTAAGAAACCCCCGGAGTGACACCATTTCAGCTGTTGCATGGCAGATTTTTGCGTCGATGCTGCCCCCATGAGCCAGTTGATGATGGGACCGTAGACACCCAAGTGCTCAGTCTGCGAGCGGAAGAGACGCGCCAGGTAACCTGACAGCGGATTCAAGGCAAACAACATGGCATGTCGACACCAGCCGGACCAAACCTCCGTCGATGTAAGGTTCATTTTCAATCGGGAGACAGTGTGGGTGTGGACACCGATACGACACCGCGGCCTTAGCGAGAAGCTCTTGAAGGGCTACTTCGTACCGTACTAGGTGCTCCGTCGCCTCGGAAACCCGAACTACGTGTACTTTCAAGCGGAATACGGTCGTCAGGACGCCGCCAGCCACGACCCGAGATGGTGCACGCCGTGCGTCTCAAGCAGTTTTGTGCCCGAGGGGGCGCGGGACAATTTATGGCTCAGACGGCCCCGCAGTTTATTGTATGCCGTTATTTACTGCGTGAATTTAATTAAAGTGACATCGGGGCGATGCATTCTTTTTTAAACGGAGAGTAATGCCGCGTACATGGCCG